GGTAGTGGTAGTGGTGGTGGTAGTGGTAGTGGTAGTAGTAGTAGTAGTAGTAGTAGTAGTAGTAGTAGTAGTAGTAGTAGTAGTAGTAGTAGTAGTAGTAGTGCTGCTGCTGCTAATAATAATAATAATAATAATAATAATAATAATAATAATAATAATAATAATAACAATAATAATAATAATAATAATAACAATGATGATAATGACGACAGTAATAATTGATAATAATATTAATAGCAATAAAAAGTAAAGAAAATTGTGCTAAATGCGAAAAAAAAGTTGTGATTTGTTGATCATAATATAGTATATAGTTAAAGCTTAGCAAGCTATAATTAGGCCTAATACCCCATTGAGACTAGCATCGCATTGCGATTGCGATCGGTTGTAGCAATTGCGACGCCCAATCGGAAAGTAAAATCGTGTGTGAAAGCTCACCAATAGTAGTCGATATGTAATCGATATCGCAATTGTTACCCATTGCGATTGGGTGCTACAATCTTTATTACTCCCGATTACCACGGAATCCGATCGCAACGAATCACAACGAATTCCACAGGCGCTGTTTGGCTGAGGTCAGGCAACATAAGCCTAGCCACCGGAGGCTAGGCCCTAGAATGTAAAGTTCGTTTGTGTTGGTCTGAATGCGTGCGTTCGTTGATTGCGATCGGGAGTACTCAGTTTTGGATTACCACCGATTACATCGCAACCGATCGCAACAGAGTGTAGTCTGAATATGGTAGTTGTTCTGGATATTAAGTAGATCCCTAATAAAAGATCATGAGAAATTTTTTGGCGTTTCATTTTGACTATAATGGTAATGTGATGATGATGAATTTTACTATTTAAAAGTGTCATTTCCGGGCATCTCGAGAGGTATTATTTCTCAAATTCTCTCACCTCAGCCCCAGTCATGGTGGGTCTGAGGTGGTTGTGAAATCACGTTTTTGAAGTAGGCCTATGTAAAGTACATACTAAAAGACAATGTTTTTAAGCTTGGTTTTATATGGTATATCACACACACATTAATAAGATCTCTATGGTTGTCAAAAATCCCTGATAAAAGAACATGAGAATTTTTTTGGCGCTTCATTTTGACTAATGGTGATGAGATGATGATGAATTTTACTAAAAGTGTCATTTCTGGCCATCTAGAGGTACTTGAGCAGAGTACTCATTTTTTAAGGAAAAAAAAAAGAAAAATATATTCAAATTGTGCGAGTGTATTTCCGGCCATCTAGAAATGCCCTAATCCTAAATTTTCTTACCTCAGCCCCAACCTGAGGTGGGTGGTTCCTCGGTCTGTGAAAGTCCCTCCCTGGTTCACCTCTCTTTCGAATTCCTGGATCTGCCACTGTTGATTTATTATATAATTATTTTTGCGCTAATTTATAATGCGTCTATTGCAATTTTCACTTTATCCTCTCAAACAGTCCTAAGAACGTTCAGAGTGCGCTAATTCATAGGGGGATTCACCCCATTGACCCCGCCGGGGTCCTACGTAATTCTCATAACGGCTCCCCCCCTTTCAAAATCCTGGCTACGTCTCTGGCCTTGCATATTAATGGATTGGTTAGAAAATGCTACCAAGCTACTGAAAAAAGTGATCAGCCTAGTTTTCACCTGATTTTCCTGTCTCATCATATCATGTGTTTCAGTAATTATCGTTACATATCTCAACATTTTGAATTTTGTAAGTATTTTTCCCGAACTCAGGAAAGGTTAAATAAGCAATATATGGCCACTTGTCTCATCCCCA